CGTCATATATTCAATATTATTTTCGTTGTTGCTTTCTTTCGCTTCGATTTTCGCATTTTACACTCGTTTTTCCCCGAATTGTAAAGTTTACAATGCAAACTGGGCGCTGAGAAACGACAGCACAGAATGCACCGTCACATTGAAGGAACCGTAATCAATGTATGAAACAATTGTTTCTATGGCTCTAAATTTCGGTACGGGAATTTGTTGTACAGCAAATTTCTCTCTTTTGACTCTGTTTGAGAGTGTCTCTCCTGATATATTAGAAGATAAATACGAAAAGAAGGAGACAAGGTACAATTCAATGGTAATAATTCATTGGTCCTGCTGATCCGAAGCAACAAATATTCGGCTAGTTGTTAGCAGCAATAAAATTACCTTTTTTTAGTTTTATTGCTTTCCACACATTTTTCCCCATAAATGGTGACGAATATTCAAATATGCATTGCATTACTTTTCAATAGATACCGACCAATTTCTCGTGGAAATGAAGAACGATGGGGAATTGGAATGATTCGGATATCTCCAAGGAAGAAACGACAACAACAGCAACGCACTAAAATAGAATAATAACATAAACAACTAAAAGTCAACTTAATTGCATGCCTTTTCATTGTCATTTATTTATTTACTGCGTGCGTTAAAAACCGACGGATTTGTTCCCTTCTTTTCGCAACAATACATTGTTATAGTAATGGAGTGAGAAACCGGAGGCTTGATTTCAGGTACCGAAAAAAAGCAGCAGCAAAAACAAAATAACAATAGCCAATATTCATAAGCAGTCTTTAGCCAAACAGAACCCTCATGCCTAAGAACAACGACACATAAATGGCTTCGATGCATGCCATTCGCAAATAATAGCTTTTTTTTCATGCAAATAAAGCATTGAATGAAATTCTGCTGTTTGGTGGTCTGTTTGAATCTATCGGTGCTTGTGTGTTTGAGTTTTTTTTCATCTCTCGCTCACTTTGAGTATGTGATTGCGCGTGAGCGCGCGTCAAGTCTATCGTGTGCCAACACCACAATTCAAAACCACTTTGCATACATAATTTCAGTTGACAATCCATAATGCATGCATGCATCATTCGTCTGCTACGATCAAAAGGCATTTTCCAAATAATAGTGAAATCGAGAATGAGAGAAAATAAAATCAAATGCACACAGGCACACACACACACACACACACTCCGATACTCACAATCGCTGCCAAGTTTTCTCTTGCAAAACACTTAATAAAGTAGTAAACACTATAAATAAATAGCAATTATGATCTTTCATATTGAATGAAGTCGCGCGCGTTTACGCGCGCACGCGCACGATCCTCTTCATGTGGGTTATAATATGCGCCCAGAAAATACCATGGTATCTCGATCGCCGCATAAAAGCAATTTTATTTCACGTTTTATCGCCATTAACGTATTGTGCGAATGCACTTTTGCGAAACACGCGAATCGCCAAAAACATGCAGCCCAATCGCAACACAGAGCACTTGTTCATGTGGCGAGAACGCTACCAGCAAATGATACTGCGAATGAAATTTGGTTTTGCAACAGAATTTGAAACTTTTTATGAGGCTTTTCTGATGTTGCGATTCCAACTTTTTTCTGTTCAACGATCGAATTGTTGGTTTTATTTGTCGATTGTTTTTATCGCGACACGTTCCCGTTGTGTGTTTATGGTACATTTTTCATTCGAAATTGTTCTTTTATTTGCTGCGATTTGTTGCCGTCTCAAACACAGTTCGCAACGCGAATGATTGAGTAGGCCGCACAGTTGACAAAGTGAAAATTAAAATTAAATTCAAATGAATTATCCATTTAATAACGATTTTCGTAAGCGTATCGATTCCGAGCCAATGCATAAATGTGTTGTTTGTCTGTGTCAACGCCAACGGTCGACGGTGGTCAATGGCAGAAGCAGCAACAGAGCACCGTCCGAACATACACAGTAAACCAACAAAATGTAAAAGTCAAATGTCTACTCCGATTGTTATGAAATTAAATATGAGAGAGTCAATTTATCGTGAAAATGTCTAAACAAGCAAATACGGTGCGGTGCATCCATATTCGATGCCTGCCTATAAGCGTAGAGACAAAAAAAAGGCAGTGAAGAACCGTGTTGTTTGCGCTGACATTTTGCATACAACAGAAATTAACAAGCGAAAAAAAATGTCTATGAGAAGAATAAAATAACACAGAAATTGAAGAAAAGAAGAAGAAAAATAAAGACGATTGAACTGTGCGCGCGAATATGAACGTCTTTTTAAGAGAAATCATGTGTGACGACGATGTCATTAGTAAAATGTAATCAAAGTTTTGTAAATGTCTACGAGATTTGTTGTTTGTTGGATTGTTTGGGCGGCCGAACGGTACCGAATACGTGGTGTGTGTGTGTGTGTGTGTGTGTGTGTGTGTGTGTGTGTGTGTGTG